CAATAATACAAAAGGACTATCCAGATGTCCAGATCAAAAGAAAAAGAATAATTAGAAAATTATATAAAGATGTCTAGTTTGCCAAAGGCAACATACTAAAAAAAAAGATTACTTAACGTAGGGGCATCACCTGGTCATAGATCAGAGGGTAAGAATAAAAACAGGTTTTGATGAGGTCACTGGCAGCACGGTCTAGAATTCTAAGAAGCAGACTGTAAGTAAGACAACATAGATCTTTCTGGGATCCAAGCAAAAAGGAAGATTACTGGACTAGAATGGACGAGGAGAGCTGGAGTAAAGGTTTATGAGTAGCAGCTAAGATTTATTTCTATATAAAGTAAAAGACAAACTTTGATAGCTACTCAAGAGTATAATAACTTATACTTTTATAATGTAGTTTCATGGTAATTTGAAATAGAAAACAATCCTGAAAAGGCTATCTCTTAAATGACTTACTATGAAGAAATATAAAGGGGTTACAGCCACAAAATGATGTCTTTGGGGAGTCTGACTTGGCCTCTGCTTATCTCACTCAGTTTCAATCTCTGTTTCTTGCTCACACCCAGGATGCCATAGTCTTCACATTCTGCATCGTTGAATAGGGTTCCTCTTGCCTGACTAATGCACTCCCACACATATTTTAAGACTGAACCCAAGAAACACGTCTTCTGTGACACTTCCCCCAACTATGCAGTTACCTGAGAAAACTCTATTAGCAAATAATTCTATCATTTGAAAGAATATTCATCCTTCTGATTTGTAAGATGAGATTTCATAACACGACCATTAGACAAGAGAATCTTAATTGAAATAAAAAGACAGCCTAATAGATGACTTTCCAAGTAACTACTGACTTCAGGCATTTTTTGTTCATTTTTATTTATTTGAGTTGCTATTTACTTTCTAAAGGCACATATGATAGTGTATAAATTATAATTAAAAACTATAGTTATAATTTTTTAAGTTAAGAAAACACAGAAATGTTTATTAGTTTGTTGGGAAGAGTGAAATTACTTGAGCATTGAATTTACTAAGCTTCCAAGGGAGAAATCAAACCATTTAACTAGATAGAAGAAAACTTCTCAGTTATCTCAAATATCTCAAAATAAAATTTGCTCTCAGAGTTACTTAAATAGTTTGTCTGATTACAGGCAACAAAATATATGGCCTCATGTTCAATCACATTTACTTAAAATGTCACTTATAATTCGCATGAATAAAAAAGTAAGTATAGATTTTTATGGGCGTGAAAACAGTTTACAAATGGATTTCCACAAAATATCATACTCCAGGAAACTGGTATTAAAGAGAAGCAATAGTAAGAAAGTTTGGGGAAAAGGTACATCTAGAACAGTGCTTTGAACATAAAATATATAAAAGTAATTGCAATGTATCCTATATAAAAAGTCTCTTTAAAAAACAACAACAACAACGATAGACTATATATATACCAGGAAGACATCAGAATACCCCTCCTGAGAATCTCAGAGTCTGGTCAAAAATATATCTCTAGTTAGAAAACCACGAAAGTGACACAAAGATTGTGTTGCTGTTAACAACAACAACAAAAGTGTTGTTTAAAAAAGTGGACCTTAGTAGACCATAACTTTAATGTTTATAGACAATTTATTTGCTTGAACATAAAAGCTACTTAAAAATTGACATATTTATTCTTAAAGGCATCACAGAACCGTACATATATAGAGAATCTCTTCCCACTGCCAATCTTGTTAGTAACTATTTATTCACCTTATTACATATTAGTAACTGTTGCTAACCTTCTTAGTTGCTTATGTGGAAAAAGACGAGTTAGGTAAGAGGAAAAATAGATGGTCCCCTCCCAACTCCTAAAACAAAACAAAATCACGCACCTTATCTGTTTCATCCACGCTCAAGGATTTCATTACACAAGAAGTTGGCCTCTCCTGGATGTGAGCAAGGTTCTGAGGGACGCTCTGCGATGCTGGCATTGGAGGCAATGGAGCCCGCCTCTTCTTGGGTGCATCCGATGGCAGGGTATTTGAAACGTATGTTTTGGAAATGGTATTGGACCTCGCAAAAGTTGGGCGATTATTACTTACTAGAGGGGTTGCAGGGGCACTTGCAGTCTAATAAAGAATGAAAAGGCAAATTCTTTATGTGATTTCAAGATAAAAAGCACACACAATTAAAAACAGATTAGATATATAGGAAAATACTTACTTGATCCCGCCTTTTCTTACTGCGTTGAAAAAAGCTGAAAAACCCTTTATTTTCTTTCTCCGTCATAATGTCTAAGTTTTGTGATATTTGGCAGGACTCTAAAATAGAAGAAAAGCACTTTACTTTTTGTACAAGGGTTGTATGTTCACCCACAAAGGGTCTTTCAATTACTTTCCTTTGAAAATGTATCTAATTATAAAAGCTACTAATTATGGTCTACTACAAAGCATAAACTCTGCTAGGCACCTTATAGCTTATTTAATTCTCAAACGACAGGTCAATTTAGCATTACTGTTCCTATTTCACAGCAGAGGAAACTGAAGCTTAGAGAAACTAAGATACTCAGAGCCAATAATCAGGAAATGACACATCTATAACTTAAACTCAATTCTTTGTGACTCAGTCTGTCTTCTATACACTATTACTAACATTTTGAAGTAAAAAGGGCACTCGAATTAAATGAGATATGAAATTGCTATATATAGTTTGTCCCTTTGTTTATTTTGAATCATAACTTTATCTCAGAGCTAAATTATCATGAAATAGTTTATTTTCCAAAACATGATTCATTATAGTTATTTAGTACTTTGTTAACTATTTCATAAATTTTATTTCTTTAATCCAGTGGTTTTCAACTGGGGCTGAATTTGCCCTCCTCCACCCCTATCTGAGCACATTTGACAATGTTGGTGACAGTTTTGGTTGTCACACATGGGGGGAGGGTGGGGAGAATGTGTTACTGGTATCTACTGGGTAGAGGCTAGTGATGCTGCTAAACATACTACAATGTCCAAGGCAGCCCCCCAACAACAAAGAATTATCTGACCCCAAATGTCAGTAGTGCCAAAATTGAGAAATGGCACTTTAATCAGAATGGCCAATGTCAAACTTCAAGGTTTTATATATAATACTTCATTTTCCAAAAAGTATTTTCTAATGTCAACTGAATGGGCCTACAAAAATGGCAAATACACTAGTGCTGGGTCACCCTGGCCCACATTGTCTTTATCATTTCCCACTAAAAAGAACTATGATCACTTAAGAATGGTTAATTCTTTGTTGATATCAAGGAATGTACAAGATAAGGCTAGAATATCTAGGCATATCAGAGAGAAAACAATCAAAATTTCCTGGGGTCATTTTAAAAGAATTCAAAGACCGATCTCATATGGTTTCTACCGGCAAATATCCAGACAATTTTGATATCATGTGAACAACTCGATAAACCTGAAACATATTGCATATGTTTAATTCCATGCATTCATAGTGATACTAAAAAATAATTGATCCTTATCTTTTACCTTTGTGTAATGCTAAGGAACCATTGTTTTAAAACTGTTGAAGGTGGAAAAAAAATCACACTTTTATCCTGCCTTTTCTGAATGAATCCTACCCAGATAGACAAATAGCTAACATGGGGAAATTTGCTTTTTTAGAAATATCTTGACTAATAATTAAAGGAATGTTTGCATTCCTTTTTTCAACTCTTATTTAACTAAGATATAGGCAATAATTATTTATGGCTAACATCAAAAAAGATAACTTGTTTTTGTATATCTGCTAATGAAAGTACACAATACCACCTATGAAGTAGTCTTGCCAAAAATATGTCACCCAAATCTGATCAAGATTCTAGATTTAACAATCAATTTATAAGAAATATTATAAAGAAACATGTTAAGTGGCATCACAGGATGCAGTTAGCAACATTCTGAATGTGGGAAATTCCATAAGACAAATGACCTGGTTTATAAAAAGAAATGAATTGAAAAAAAATTTTAAGTTAAAAAGATAAGTAAGGTTCTGTAAATTTTAGAAACATCTCTACTAAGAAACATACTGGTTTATGGTAAATCATAATTTCAGTAATATAGGAAACAATGTACTGTATATTGAAACCCATGAGATATAGCTAAAGTAGCACAAAGGGATAAATGTATTTTTACTTAAAATAAATGTTTAAAAAATTAAATTATGACAAATTCAGGGCTAGTCCAGGAAAGCAAAGATAGTTAAAGCCAATAACTATATTGATGCAATATGTCTTAATAATATTTTAAAGGAAAACTGTATTTCACAAAATAAAACTTCATAAATCTGATGTTTCAAACCTTAAATAAGCAGTATGCATTTGGTACGAGTTTACTGACAATGGTAACAACTAATAATGAACATGTGGACAGCATATTATAGTTAAAGATTTTTTTTACATGCCTAATTTATTTCTTGGAAAAACTCTGAGAGGTAGATATCATAAGTTTTCAGTCTGAGCCCTTTTTCTAAGTTTGGGGTTGTAAAGAAATGGAAGTGTGTGGTATCACCCCATTACATATCTGAGGACCTAGGTGACCAGAGTTTGAATAACTTACACCAAGACACATAGTCATTAAATGGTAGAACTGAAACTGGTTTCCATTTAAAGGTGGTTTATTATACCTCTGACATTTTTCAAAGAAATGCTACTATTTTATTTTAAGATAGAATCCTCCACTAATTGAATATAGATATATAATTAAATTTAGATAGAACATTAGATGAAAAATTCACATGCTGGTGCAATGCAATAAATATAATCTGAGTATTTGATGTAGTTATTTTTGGTAAAGTAATTTTCAGGCACCCAGTCATCCTCTACACCTCCAAGTCTTAATGCTCTGTGTCAGGGAGCATTGTAAGCCAGAGTTAAACTCTAAGACAAATAAGGGCTTTAGCTTAGTTAGCAACTCAAATGCTGTAGTTTCCTGTTTCCAGAACAGAGGCTATAAGTAAGGGCATGCAAAGTTTTAAGCCTTTTGATAATATCAGACAAAAATTAAAGAGGCAGGGGAATGGTGTTTACAGTGATTAGATTAACCTTGTAAATTCTGACATTGTAAAAGGAGCTTTCTTAAATTTTCCTATTCCATTGTCTTAAGGTTATGTTCATAACATTTAATACACTAAATAAACCATATCTTTGGGGGGCTGAAAGGGGTATTAGAAATCAATTTATTCAACATCTTAAAAATGAGGCCAACGAGATTATGGAATTCGCTTTGGTTTGTATATGTAGAGAATGGAAAAATTAGGAACAAAAGCCAAGTACAAGTAACAGAATGTTGATGCTGGAAAGGATCACTAAGACAACTTTTTCTCATATCTTTATTATCAGAGAAGTAAAAGGTTAGATCTATACAGATAAAGTTATTTGTCTTATCCGCTTGTCAAATGAGGTTGACAGCTAATGTAGTATCAATTAAAATGCCTGCCTTCTAATTATTAACCAATACGTACTTTAGGATCATAAGAAATTTCAACTTCTTTGATTAGGCTGGTATTAATGCTAGGTACTAATACTATTACTTATGTGGGCTTAATTCTTGGAATTGAGAGGCTCATTGTGCTACGGGAAAATTGGAAGTGGAAAAGAAAGATTTCAATAACACAAAATGTATACAGTTTATTGTGGGGTTTTTTTAGTAAGATGGTAATTATTACAGTAATAAATTATCTAAGCCTATCCTTTTTTAATGGGCCAAAGACATCCAGATTTTATTATTATTGGCTATTTTTAATAAAATTTTCACTATAAAAGTAATATATTCCCATTATAAAATTCTGTAATAAAGAAAAGAATGAAAAGTCACCCATAGTCTTACCACCCGAAAGTAACCACTATAAAAAATTTTTATGTATTTCCTTTCAAAGTTTCATGTAACTTTTTTTACAACTGTATTAAACATATTTAAATGCTTTAAAAGCTAATTTTAGTATAAGCCATTTTTTCAAGTTATTACAAAATATTCACAGTTTAATGGCTACAAAAATTTCTTGTGATGAATGTACCCTGATTATTATGAATAATTGTTAAACAAAAGTAATCTAAGATCTTTCTATGGTACAACCAAATTATCAGCATTTGTACCCAGTAAGATCTTAGCAAATCATTTTTTCTTGTCTGAGCAAAGAAAATATTCTTCACTTTCTTAGGATAATATTAATTTTAAAACAATTATTGAAATGTAATTATTGTATTAAATTCAGAAATCAAGGAGGGCCTTATAAATTATTTTTCAGGAAATAAAACACAAAGATTTTATCTAAGTTAAAATCTCTTGCACAATGTACATATTAGTAATGTTAAGAAAGGTAAAATTAGAAGCTTATTTTCAATTTACCCAGTAGAAATAGAGATTTCATATTATAATTTGTTTCTACCGATTCATATGACTTACCTTGTAAAGTTGACTTATTGAAGGCAGTAACAGAAGTGGCTACAGAAGAGGGGGTAAAAGAGGGTAAATTGACTTAAAGATGATGTTTATCCAAGGACACAATACCACTGGGTTGAAACAGTTGTCTGTAGATTTACATAAAGTCACAAATCTCGGGATAAAGTTTGAAGTTCTCTATGCACAGGGGATATAAGTGATTGTCTCCTACGCTAAACTTTTATTTCTCCTAATAAAACAGATTCATGTTGAATAAATAAGCTTGCATTTATCTATTAGACATCATGCAAACCAACATTATCTAAGATCTCCAAATTTTAATACATTAAATTATTTCTAGAGATTAATACTGCAAGCTATTTCTATTTAGAAATTTTGAGAATTAAACTGATTCATAAGCCAGTTGATTTTGGGTGCTGACCTTTAGACAAAAATGTGGCAAGAAACTTCCTAATTTGGATGATAATTAAGACTCAGACAAAATCATGGTGAGTCTACAGTAATTTATGTTTGATTAGAACAATGAATTTAAATGTAATTTTTCTTTTCTGTTTAAATCTCAAACTCGCAAAGAATTAAGTTAAATTCTATCAAAAAATATTCATAGGTAGATGGAAAAGTGTAAAATGTGATGATAAGAAAGACAAGTTTTCATTCCTATTTCAATAACTGAAATCAAGTTAAATTTTATTACATTTAGTTTTCTCTTATTTCGAATGGAATGTATTGACTTCTGTCTACAGGATCCATTAAACTTGAGAACCATACATAAACACAACATACACATATACATACATGCACATCCTGTCAAATGAATAAAATAAAAAGTCTTACCTCTGCTGATATCCATGGCATATAACTCTCTTAATCCCAGCTCATTAAGAGATTTCATCAAGTCGAGGGGCTCCTGAGACTGATAATCCTTCAACAAGAGTGTATGCAATGGATCGAACTCACATTTGCTGCATATAATGGGGGTAAGTTCTTGAAGTATTGCATGTGGGCTAACTCTCACTATTGTCTTCTGCGTTTTCTTAAAATTGATCACAACTCTCACAGTTTTCTGTAACATATTGAAGCCACAGTTATACCACAATTTACTCAAATTTTCTCAATGATGTCTAGAATAATGAGAAATCTACACTTATATATTCACGCAATAAACAAAATTTTTCTATTTTAGTGTAAAATTCTTTTTTTAATTGTTACCTCCTAAATCCAAAGTAGATTCTTATTAAATAGTCTAGATTAAATTCATAACCCTTGTATAGTAAAGTATTAGGTAGATTTAAATACAAAAAGAAACATAAAAGCCTCCTATCTAGTACAATGGATATTTTGGTTTTGTTCCTTAAAGTATTTACTTTAAAACACATATAATAATACAGAATTATCCATGTTTTGTTCTACCTTTTAGTTGAGGAATATTTATTTCTCTAACAGTTTGTCAGTCTTCTCAATGGAAAAGGAGTATCTTAGTTAAAATATTAAAATTTTTTAGCTTCCATTTGAAATAAGTTAAATAAGATAATCCATATAAAGAGATAAGCATAGTGCCTGGCATATTGTAAATTATCAATAAATAAACATTATTGTGACTATTATTGTTACTATTATTATTATTTTGGCTAATTTTAATATATTAGTAAAAATATTAAAATATTTCTTATTTAGATATTTAATATTACTAATTCAAAATTATTAAGAGTATCTTAAGCATCTGATCACTTTAATATACTTGAATTAAATCCTGTATAGAAATAGAACTTAGAAACATGTGACCGTGCTAAGTGAAATGTACAGATTGCAGGTCCTCAAAGTTTAACATGTATTTATAAAACTAAAACACCGCATATGACTCTATGATATAACATAAATTCTATCTGGGTAAATAGCACACATATTGAGATAGCCCAATATCCCAATTAATATTTAATACTCAATCACATTTGTAGAAAGCAAATATATTTTAGTATTGTAAAAGAATTAACTTTTTTTGTAAAAAGTTTCATAAGAACATGAAGAAAATATGAGAATATATGTACTCAAGTCATTTGTAAATGAATTATTTAATATATAAACCTTTATATATTTTCTTAAGTTAAAAATAGTTGATATTGTTCCTAATGAAAGAATATTTTTTGAAACCCAAAAACTCTATTGCTTATAGAAAAAGAATAATTTTATAAAGAATCTATGATATTAGAATCATTATGGTTAAACATTTTTACTTAAAATTCATATATTACAGAAAACTGAACCACAGTATAGCTCAAATTAACACTAATGTAGAAGTTAAGAAGTTAAAATCATCGCTTACCAAGAAAGCCAAATTTTTATTTTAATAAATTCTTAAATGAATTTCATTAAAAGATTCTAAAACCTTCCTTGAAATATAAAATATTTTTAAAAAGTAGCTTAAAATACAAATCATTCATAATTGTCAGATTCTAACACTGTTCTATAGATCACTTTATGGATATAAAATCCAAAATATTCCCCAAATTCTACTTAATCCAAACATCAATGACCAACTGAATCCTGAACAAAGTGGTCTAGGAAAACATGATAGCCATGTTCACATCAAATTTGACCAAGAAAGACAATTTTTATTTCATTTATAATGAGCTGCAAATAATAACTGAAAAATCAACTTAGCATTTTAGCCATATGGTATCAAAATCTACAGTGAAATTCTTACCTCTGGTATTATAGGTGTAGGTTTCTTCTTTTCTAAAATTTTTGGCTTTAAAATTACTTTCTCCACCTCCAACATTCCTATTGGTGTGTTTGGCTTAAATTTAATGGGATTCTTTTCAGCTGACAGCAGATCAATTGTATAACTTGATGGATTTAAGTGATACTGTGCACAGAGGAATATCAACAAGTCCATCATAGGTTTACTGTAAAACAAGAGTAATGTTGATCATAAAACAATTTAAGTAACTCTTAAAGTTACTGTTTCAAGCATTTTCTTAGGGCCTCTTGACTTCGGTAGATAAAACAAGGCTATGAAATCATATTTATGAAAGAAGCTTAAAAATCTAATTATAAGATATCTAAACAGACAAAATTATAGCACTTAAAAAGTGCTAAGTAGTATTCAAAAAAGCTTGGGTCCCAGTGTTGGTTTAAAAATTACCTATATTTTATCTCTCGAATTGTCTTCATATTACAAATTTCAAGAGAAGGAAAAGCCCTTTCCTTACCCAAAAGTAGTCAGTTAGTTGAGCAGAAACTTCTTCACAATATTATGTAGAAAGCTAGCAGTCTTCAGCTTACAAATTGGTTATATTCCAAAGTTCTCATAAGAATCAAGTATTAAGAACTACCTACCACTCTTTGAGCTTTAGAAAGCACAGTAAGTATTTACACGAGGAAGCATATAAAATCCTAAAGGAGAGTATAGTACTGATTTCTTAAATCATTCAAACGGTATTTATTATTTTCTAGCTATTGAAGATACAGTACAAGTGTTATGGCATACTTGCTCTCATAGGTCTAATGCTCTACCTGATGCATTAGACCAAGTATCAGCAAACTGCAATCTGCAGGTCAAAGTGGGCCCAAAGCCTGTTTTTGTAAATAAAGTTTTACTGGAACACAGTCATTCTCATTTGTTCACATAATATCTAGGGCTGCTTTTGTGTTACAATGGCAGATTTGAGTAGGATGAGACTGAGACTATATGGCCCACAAAGCCTAATTATATTTCCTTGACAGAAAAAGTTTATGGGCTTTTGTGCTAAAAATAAAAAAGTAACCAAGTAAATATGAGATAATTTCAAGCAGTGATTAAATTTTAAATACTAATGGTAATACAGAATCTATTTCTATAGGAAATTGCACACTCAACTTGAGATCCAGAGACACTTCCCACTTTGTTGCTTCCTTCTCCATAGATTCTAATTGTTGGCACGGACTTGTGTTTTTTTCATTCACGCCATCAACAGAACAATGTGGTTTCTTAGTCTTTCATAATAGTCAGCTCTTAAGGAAAGTCACTGAAAAATCTTTTGTATTATGTGCTTTCCTGAAGTGTCTGGACTGGATTAGTACTTATTTAAGACTGTGGCACTGAAACACTGTGCAAAAGTCCTTTTTTCATGAACTGAGGTACAGGCTGATGAGCGTCACCTGAGGGTTATCAGCTGGCCAGCTATTTTTTTCCACTAGGAAATATAAATGTCAGTAAACAATTCTCCAGTCTCTTGACTAGAGACATGAACCTGGCTACTGGCTTTCAGGAACTTGACAGGGAAATGAAGCTAAGAAGCTTACCATTCAGCATGCCATTTTTAATTTAATACATCTGTTTTCATATGCACCTCATCCCCACCTGCTTGAGTGGAGTTCCCAGATCTGTAGCTTCTTTGGTTCAGTTTTTCCAGAGGCAGTCTCCTGCTGAGGAAGTGTTAGTTGTCTGACATTGTGTGGTGTTGAGGTCAAACAACAGTTCATATAGATTTTCAAACTATCCTCAGTGTTCAACTCCCTACTTCAACCTTATCTGTTGTGGTCATTGCTTATTCTTAGGCCATTCCAATCTCTGTAGGATAGACATGTGCTTCATAATAGTATCCTCACCTCCCTTTTCCTCCCCTGCATACAAGTAGCACCCTATTTTACATATATCAAGGAAAATGAATAAAAGACCCTAAGCCCCTCAGTAAAAAATGTTCTCTGGAATATGTTTCCAGTCCTCAAATTATGTTCCCTATGTCGTTATCAGATGCTTGCACAATAATATTTAGAAGTTTTATGTCCTTCTCTTGACCTGGTATGCTCATATATAAATTTGTCTATAATTGTCCAAATTTTGGCTTTGGATAGTAAATACTAAATTTTATCTAGAAGGAAACTACATAATGGTATTATGGAAGTTTATCTTTTGGTAACGTAGTACTCTACGAGAGCAATTTGCTAGCCTTGAAAACGATGCTTTCTTTTTCTGATAGTAAATAGGTTAAGAAGGATTAGACAATGTCTAGGTAAATACAATATAATTATAAAGATGGTTAAGCTGGAAGAAGAATTTTCACTGCCAACCAAATGGAGCACTGTCCATTGTTGTCTGAGTAAATGGTGACATATTCAGATATTTCTTTTTCTCTCTGTGTAAATATGCCAAGAAATATGTGTAAAAACACTAAAGCTTACACCTCAAACATTTTTTACTTCTTAAAATGTATAGTTCTTTAGAATTTAAAAAATTGAAATGTTTAGTTTCTTAGAAATGCTCAGGAAAGTTTTAAAAAGTAGTTATTAGTGTAAAGTTTTGTTTTGTTTCTGTTTTGTTAATCTGTCTTTGTGCCACCATTTTATATCTTTATGTAAAAACATATAAACATTTACAAAGATATTTTTCATTTTTAATAGGTAAGAAAAATTTAACACTCTTTAAGTGCACTTCTTATTTAACCCTTGAGATATGCTTTAAAGAATCATTGCATTTCTATCTGTTATATATCAATTTTCTAATTTAATAAATGGGGTGAATACAGAGCCAAGGGATGTTATAATAATGGCCTATTCCCTCAGTCAATTTGGTCATCTATAATCTGTGGATGAAAGGAGTTCTACGGAAAGTAACTTCACAGTGTGATCCGATCATATATTCTTAACTAGGGAGGTCATGGAGGATGTCACACCGCAGCATATAACTTTTTAGTAAAAAGTTTATCTTTGCTGTAAGCAAGCCCTGTCTATTGTTTTTATGCATCTATGTTAACGCAGCTTTGAAATAATCATAACCACTCTCAAGAAAGCACATAGTATTAATTGTCCTGTAATCCAATTCCAGTCTTGCTTTCTCCTCCCTTCACGTAATCTTCCTATGTTCCTTTCTTAATTTCAAATGCATAAGAGAAACTGCAAAATTGTCAGTTCTCAGAAGCATTTGAGATCTTGTTTCCCAGCATATGTCATCAGTTTTGGCTCTAATAAACTCTTACGAAAATTCTCTACAGATTTGGATGTTTCTTCCATCAATAAATCTTTGCACACAATACCAGATTTCATGGCAAAAAAATTTCATGCTGACTAGAGCTGTATCATGACCTTTGAACTCAACATTGCCTAAATGTTTTCTAATAAAAATACCTCTTCAAAAGGCAACTAAAAATCATAGCACTTCCTTATGACTTTATTCTCTCATTCAATAATTCTAGGTTCAATTCTTTATTCAATAATTCCAGAAGTCAATTTTGTTTTGAAAATATTCCTATTCCCATACAGAGGAATGCAACAGATCAGAAAGTTTTATAACAGACACAGTACTGATGGGAATTTACTACTGCATATGACAATGGTACTTCAAATTTCTGGGGAAATAATTAAATTTTCAACAACCAATATTCAGAAAATTGACTAGCTATCTGATGAAAATTAAAAGTTATGTATCTACCTTATCCCTCACACTAAAGCAAGCTCCACATGGACTAGATATATAAATATGAAGGGAGAAAAACAGAAAGGAAACCCATCTTCATGCTGTTTATGTTCTGGAGCATTGCTGTTCAATAGAACTTTCTGCAAAGATAGAAATTTTCTACATCTGTGCTGTCCAATACAGTGGCCTTTCACAACATGTGGCCATTGTGAATGAAAAAGGGGCAATGAAATAAATCTGACAAGCACAGTGGCTGAAAGCAACCTCACAGGGTGATCTGATCATACATTACTAATTGGGCAGGTCATGGTGGACAGTCACAACACAGAGACACTACATAGTGGTAGCGTTACTGAAAGGACCCAACGGGAGGCCTTAGATGTTCATTTTAATTATTTGCTATGCGATATGCTTACTAACTTCTTCCTGTTGACCCGCAAACCATCAACAAGGTCCTGGTAGATTTGGGAGAGATTAAAGAAAGAAAATTTTACAAGTCAGACTGAAAAATAAGAATCCAACAATGATAATCCACTGTGGCCCCAAGAGCATGAACCCTTGGGAATTTGCAAGAATATTATAAAAGGAATTGAACTTTCCACAAGAAGCAGAATAGGGCTTCAGTCCAATTTTATCTAGACCTTAAGGAGCAGAGTGACTTCAGATGTTATCTGGGTTTCATTTATACCTAGATGTGAACTCCTCTCTAGGAGGACCGTCTTTTAGCAATCTTTATTCTCAGGACCTAATACATAGTAAAGTCAATGTCATTGAATGAGGAATTCATGGGAACCAGTGATTATTTATCTCTAGGTAATTCTGCTTAAAGCATCCATGAACTCAAACACACAGCATACAACGTACAATGAGATCTCTGTACAGTATCTGACACACGAAAAGGCAAAATTGTTAAAAGAAGGGTCAAAAGCTTTTTAAAAAACATATGGTTGTGAAAACCATTCTTTTAAAATTCACAAATTTTACTAGTATCCTTGTTGTGTCTAAAGCCATGACACGTTTACACAGGAGTGGGATATAAGCATTAAGTTAGGCTAAGACCTTTTCCAAAACAGCCTCAGACCAGTTCAAATACTTAAAGCATTTAATTGAAACTTCAGCCTTTGACACTAAAAGCACAGATTTTGAGAGTGAGAATTACTGACTGCCTAGCTCTACCATAAAGGAGCCATAATACTATCAAAATAGGACATTTAACATTTAAACTGACTCTGCATCCAATAGGGCTGCTTTAGGGATTAACTACTCACAAAATGTACCCACAGAAAATGAAATTATCTCTTGAGTATAGTCATTTAGAATTATACACCCAGATGTCAAATTACTTCTGTAAAAACAACAATTTTGGTTGAGGATAATTATCTGAAGCTGATGCAGCTAACTGCAGTTGGCTAACAGGTTCAACCATGGGATCACCACAGGAAGGATTCTTTTTTCCTGTTCGCTAAGGTGTGAGCACATGCTAGCAATCCACCTGAAACTCGAGCCAAAATA